AAAACCAGCTTTGGAGAGAGAAAATAGAAAAAACTGCTTTTCAGGGAATTAGGCCGGACACCATCCTACCACCGCCCTAACCAGTGAAAATAGGGTTCTTTCCAAAACGGACCCAAAAAAACGGATGCCAAAACGAAGTTCAGGAGCCTGATATCCTGCGCGGTTCCCGTCTATCTTGTTCTCTATACATTTATTATACTACTTCCCTCCTCCTTTTTATACCTTTTTTTTTTTTTTGTGTGTGTGGTTTGTGGTGGTGGTGGTTGGTGTTTTTTTTTTTTTCTTTTTTTTTTTTTTTTTGGTTTTTCTGACAGAAAGCTGGTTTTTCCCACTTTTGAGCCACAATTTTTGGCTTTTCTTACCATCATTGTGTTGTGCTCATCTGGTAGGCCACCAATATGGGTAGGCCGACCAGTAATTCCTCTTGACCCTTTTGAACCCCTCTAAAAAGCCAGTTTTTCTCTCTCTTGGGTCACATTTTCTGGTTTTTCTCCACAGGGCTGTGTTCTACTCATCTGGGAGGCCACCTTTCTGGGTAGGCCGACCAGCAATTGTTCTTGAACCTTTTGACCCCTGGTCGACCGACCAGGGGGAGGGGCCGGCCGGCCACTTGAACTGGCCGGCCTGCTTATTGCTTTTGTCCCATTTGACTGTAATCCAACTGTGCCAGCTGGGGACCATTTGGTGCGTCCTCCATACACGTGTATGGAGGATCTTTGAAGCTTCCAAGAGAAGCTTTGGCCTCTCTTCTCTATAAGAGAGGCCCTCCTCTTCATTTGTAGAGGTTAGACACTTTTGCTTAAGGCTTATCACCTCTCACCTCCAACCTCCATTGCTACTATTCCAAGCTCCAAAACCCTAACTTCCTTGGTCCATTTACACTACAACCCATAGCACCACACCACCATCATCCATTCCAGCCCCTTGTAAGTCATTTGCAGAGGTTGAAAGCTCATTTCCCTGGATCAAAGGCTGCTGGAAAGTTAGGCTACAAGGGTAAGCTCCTATTCTCCCCATTTTTACACTATTTTGTTCTATATCTTAGCCCCTTTTGCTTACATCTTTGGGTTTTGTCCTGAACTAAAAAAAGTCTTATTTTGAGCTCATATTCATGTTTGATTAAGGACTTTTCTCTGTTTGAAGTCTTCTACTACCCCTTTCCCTTTATCTCTCTTTTAGGGCTATTTTTGCATCATATTTTAGCCTTACTTGTGAGCATATTAGAGATTTTCCATAAACTGTAAAGTATCTTGTTTTGAGCCCTTGTTCAACTTTATTGAAGGGCTCTTTGCTGTTTGAGGCATTTTTCTGCCCTATTTGCTCAATCTCTCTTTTAGGGCTGTTTTTGCATGATACATTAGCCTTATTTGTGAGCCATTTTAGACCTCAACCTAAACTAAAAAAAATCTTGTTTTGATGTCATCTTTATGTTTGATTAAGGTCTATTCTCTTTTTGGTGTCATCTTCCCCTATGCATGCTTCATTCCTTCATGATTAAGGCTATGCATTACAGCACTTGCATTGGCCATGGTTTGGCCTCTTAGCCACTGAAATCTAGTGGATTTTCAGTGGCTTTGATGCATTTTTTAGGGCCAAAATTAGAGGGGGGTGACCCTCTCTCTCCTTGTCTTGTTTGGGGATCTTTTAGGCCTTCCAAAGGGACCCTATTTTGCATGCATCGAAGTCATTTTTGAGGCCTCATTATGAGGGTTTTGAGGCCTTCCTTGGCTCTATCTGAGGCCCATTTCACCATATTTTAGGTCTATGTTGCATGTGTAGACCAATCCCATTCAAGGCCCTACAAAGAGGCCTTTCTTTGCATGTTCCTTGGACCAATTTCAGGGTCAATTTGGTGAGTTTTAGGGCTGTCATATTTGATTTCCAGAGTTGGTTGTTCCATGCTAAGTGTCCTTGATGCATGTGCTTAATTACCCCTTGTATCCCCTTCCAAAGAAGCCCCTCATTTTTGCACATGTTGGCTGCATTTCAGTGATTATTTAGACATATTTTGGCATGTTTTATTCACTGATTTTTGCTAGTCTGGTGAGATTTCATATGCTTCATATGCATGCCATGTAAACCATGTTTGCCAGTCAAAGTTACATGCTATTTTAGTCCATCACGCTAGCATCTTTTGGTCATGATTTGAACTAGAAATGTTCATGTTTTGGGACTGCCTTGGCTCTGTCTTCGTGCTTCATGGTCAAATAATGCATGCTTTGTATAGCTACAAGTCAATACATGTGCCTAGTTTTGAAGTTTCAGAGCTCATCTCATGCATCGGGTGCCATATATCCATGATTCGAGATCATTTTGCATCATATTTCAGTGTTGAAATTTACATGTTTGAATGCCATGTTGCATGCCTTGCCATGCCTTGTTTGAGTTGCGTGTTGTGTCTTAGGTTCGGTCCTCAGTTTGCGTGCATGTGTGCACTCATTTCGGTGGTCTCATTTTCATCTTATGGCCACTGATGTGAGTGTGGCTGAGGTCCACTCATGTTGGTGTAAGTCCATTATGCATTGTGTATGCCATTTCATAGCATTGCGTATGCTAATTGTATTTTAGAGCATGTGTATGTCATGTGTGCGCGTTCGTGATTGTGTATGCCATTTCTAAGCATTTGCGTATCGCTAGTGTTATGTTAGTCGCATTGTGTATGCCATCTCATTTGCATTGTGTTGGGATAGGAGTTAGCCCAAGCACTAGTCAGGAAACGTGGAACGTTTTCGTACTCCGAGTGACGGAACGTGTCTCAATTCCCGGTCGCCGACACTCCGGATTACCCGTGATGGAGTTTAGGTCTTGTTGTGTTTTCCTGTGCATTCATCTCATATTGAGTCGTGCAATTCGGCTCCTCGGCCATCATGCATCGAGATGCGTGATTGGTGGCACGAGGATCGATGACTACACTCCCCGAAGAGTAGTCATGCATACATATGTGAAAATACTTTGCCATGCCCCTTTGTTGCTCTCTGTTGCAGTAAATCAGAAATCAGCGGCCTTCCGGAGCGTTGCACAGCATTCCGGTATTAATTGCAAACAGAGGCGAATCGGGGCATCGCAAGGAATTTCCCGACAAAGGCAACTCAAGCATACATCATTCATCATTCAGAATCAGAGCTGAGGCGGTCCATGGATTTGCGTGTCATTTACTTCTTTCCTAGATTAACTTGTTAATTAATTAGGATTTTGTACTTCTTCGGACTGTTGTATTTGTAGAGACCCTAAATTTTTTAATTACACTTAAAACCCTGAGCCTTAGGTTAATAGCATTTTAACCCTAGTTCCGTAAAAATCTGTGTAAGGGCCCAAGTAAAGAATAATTTCTCCGTTTGTTACCATAATTAAATCATAGAACACCACTTTATGATTGGAACTATCCTAAAACTTGGTTTTATTTATTTACCTCATAATTTCTAAATTAATTCACACATTTTATTCTTATTTCTAATTTTTTTTATTATTGTTCTTTCATTAATTACTTATTTGAATGGAATATTATTGTGTACTTGAATATATACATAGTTTATATATATATATATATATATAATATTGGTGGAAGAGTGGGTTGATAACAAAAAAGAAGTAAATAAAATAAATAAATAAATAAATAGATAAATATCTAGATATTTAGTTCCTTAGCCATTACGCTACCTACATTATATAAATTGAGAGTTGGTCCCAATCCACACCCACGTTTTTCATCAGCTCAAGGAGAGGGTGAGAGAGGGAGAGTTTGCTCAAGGGAAGTCAAGGGGAGTAGAGAAGTGAGAAGAAGAAAAAAAAAAAAAAAGACTTCTTGAAGGTAAAAATACACCTCTCCCTTGTCTTCTCAAAAAAAAATTTTCTTTACCCATCTCACCCTATTGTCCAAATGCTCCCTTGGGTTATGTATTAATGGTAAATTGAGTTTTTGGTGTGTATGCATGTGTGGGTGTGAATTGGTGACATTGTCTTACAATTTTATTCAAAATATGCACTGCTGCAATTTCTAATATTTAAAAGAAATATCAAACCTGTTTATTTCTCAAATCTGAATTTATTGTAAGATAATTGGTGTGTTTAGAGCTTGTGAAAATTTTATTAGCCCCTAATTGTGTGTTTTTAGAGCTTGGATAATTTGTTGAAAAATCTGGTCATGAATCTCTGAAAAACAGTCCACTTTTAGTAATTTTATAAAATTCTAGAAAAATCATCTTGTGTTGGTTCTTTTGTCAAAATTTAGAAATCTGAGTCCTCTTTCCAACAGATTTTATTTGAGTGAAAACCATCGGGTAGATTGAGAGAAACGCTAGTTTTCCCAATGGGTGACAAATCTGGACAGGTTTTTGAATATAGCTTGTGGATGAATTTCTGGAGGTGCTATGCACATTCTGTGAGTTGGAATTGAAATTAGACAGGTTACTTATTATTTCTGTGCAATTTCAGCCCCTAATTTGACCTAGAAGTATTTTTACCAAAGCGTTCTTGTTAGCCCTGCAGAACCGACCGTAGCTGGAAATTGTGTTCTACTATGTGACTTGTCTCTAAGTGTTTCAGGCCTTTTTAATGTTATTTCTTGCTTAACTATACTTATGTACTTATGTATGATGATCATGGACTATATTTCCTCTAGTATGTTTTTCCCATACTCGTTTAATTGACCAAATTACCGAATGTGACTAACTCACCTAGCAAAAGATCTAATAAACGGGAAATGATAAGGGGTTGGCAATGGGTGACGTTTATCTTAGTGTTTTAGAACAATTTTATACATATGCATGACATGAATTATGATGGGGTTAATACCAAATGAGTTAAGTCTTGCGTAAGCAGTTTAAGCGAGCCCCTGGGTTGACCTGGATGTATTCAGACTCTATGCGGCGGTTTCAGGGTGTAAACGAGCCCTTTGGTATGGTATGTGCAGGGTGTAAGCAAGCCCTTTGGTATGGTATGTGCAGGGTGTAAGCGAGCCCTTTGGTATGGTATGTGCAAGGTGTAAGCGAGCCCGAGGCACGAGTTGGGTGTAAGCGAGCCCGAGGCACGAGTTGGGTGTAAGCGAGCCCACTTGTTGGTCGTCCCTTTTAAGGTCCATCAATGCCACTGACAGGTAAATAATCAGAAGGTGGGCATAGGTGGTAAGGTCTGCAAAGCAGCAAAAGGGAGAGTTTTGAATAGTCTGGTGTTCAATCCTTGTGGTTGGGTAGAAGGATCTCTTTGGGGGGTCCTAAATGCCTAGTCTAACTACTGATTTATAAAACCTTAATGTAAGTATGTTATGTTACTTGATTTGTTTTGTGTATGATTGATTGATAGAAGATATGGGGGTGTGTGTATTTTTACTGGGCATTCCAAGCTCATGGCGTGTCATGCCAGGTGAAGAAGCAGCTTACGACGGGGAAGGTTATCCCGAAGACAATCAAGATGAAGTTTTAGAGCCGTGGTTCACTTGAAAATTTAGACTAGTAGTTTGTTTTTGTGTTCTCTTTTCTTTTACCTTTTGGTTTGACAATATTTGTAAACCTCTAGTGGAACTCAAATCAGTTATCCATGTTATAACTCCGCTTGTATGTGTATATTAACGTATTGTGGTTATCTATTTTGTTTGAGTTGTACTTTATATATTTCTCTTGCGGTCTCAAATTTTGGGGCGTGACAAATTGGTATCAGAGCCCTAGGTTCAACCCTTAACCCACGCGTGTTGACTCGTGATTTTAGATATCCTTGCCTTTCACATTACTATTTTCTGTTACCATTATAATATATCATATTAAGGGTGGACTAAAAAAAAAATTTTTTTTTGTTTACCTACCATAGGATGGATTCTACATCAGAAAGCGTTGATAACTGGGGAGTTTTTCGGTTCCAGAACAAACGGGCAGTAGCTGTTAGCCCACAAAGACTTAACCGACGGTGTCAATTAGGGGCGGAGCGCGTGATAAAGAAAGCTATTCGGAAAACAGAAGAGGATTTTTCATACTATACTGCGCAAGCAAGACGAGCGTTGGTACGTCGACGCCTCCAGTGCAAATACAGGGAGCTTAGGTTCGCTCTTCAGATAGAGCGGAATGATCAGACTTTTGCTGAGCTTAGGCAAGAGGTATTGACTGAGGATCCGCGTCCAGTGATGCGTCGCGTTGGACCTGAGAGCTGCGGCTCTCATCATCCTGAGTTAGAGGTTCTGTTTGTCTCAGCACTCCCTGGAGCTTCCCCTGCATTCCCTATAGAGGTGTCGTCAGAGTACACCCCTACACCAGTTCAGCGGTTTCCGGCCTCCCTGACATATGCTCCTTTACCACCAGAGGATCCCGAGGAAGATCCCGAAGAAGACCCAGAGGAATCATTTGACTTAGGGCTGTAGTAGTTGTGGGACGAACCCTTTTGTGTACCTTTGTAAATAGTGTTTTGTGTGGTTGAAGCGTGTTTTGTTTTGGTGTATACACGCTACACGCTAACCTAGATAGTGTATCCTTTTGTAAGAAGAAGTTATATGCGTATATATAAAATATCTAGTTGGTTAATCTAGTGTGTTGTATGTATTTTATTTTATTTTGCTTGGTTTAATTGCATCATCCATTTAGAAAAATACATAAATTTCATACACCTCGGACCACATTAAATTAGACTATTTATTGAACGCCTCTTCGCCTTCACAACAACCCTAAGCTTATATTACCCACAAACTTGGCAGATGGCGGACAATGTGGAAGCAAATGATCAAGTCAGACGCCGATGAGGACGTCCAGCTCACAATCAAGGCGCTAATTGCGGTAGACGTATACCTGTGGAGGAGTTGCCAAGACCAGTCGGAAACCAGATTCTTGAAGAGTTAGGAAGGCTTAGAAGAACGCAACCAAATGAGCGGATATATTTGTTATCTGAGTTCAGAAAGCAAAGACCGCCGGTGTTCACAGGTGAGCCTGACCCGAGAATCGCTGAGAGTTGGATTCGTCAAATAGAAAAGATGTTGGAAACCATGGGTATTACTGTGCATACAGACAAGATCGCCCTGGCAAGTTATCAGCTAGAAGGAGAAGCGGATCATTGGTGGTCCTTGATGAAAAATTCTCGAGACACGACAAGCATGACTTGGGCTCAGTTCAAAGAATTGTTTCTAAGAAAATATTTCCCAAACACAGTTAGACAAGAGCGGATTTGGCAATTTCAAACTTTGAAACAGGGTGAGATGTCAGTGACTCAGTATGTAGCCAAGTTTGAAGAGCTAGCGCGATACGCAGCCCAATACATTGCAGATGAGGGAGAGAAAGCACGAAAATTCGAGTGGGGTTTAGACCCTATTATTAGAGGCAAAGTGTTACCCTTGCGCCTCCCTACTTTTGCTGATGTGGTGGATACGGCATTGGATGCAGAAAGAGAGTGGGCAGACTCAAAAAGGATTTGGATGATGAAAACGAAGAAAGGGGGTCAGTCCTATGTAGGGCCAAGAAGAAATGACCGAAGGAATGTGGTACGGACACCATACATCAGACCGTCGCAACAGCTGCAACAGAAAGGGAGTTTACAAACCAAGCCTATTACACAAATCCAATGTTTTCACTGTCACCAGATAGGGCACAAAAAGTCGGAATGTCCCCAACTTTCTGGGATGGGAAATCAAGCAGGGGGTTCAAGCGCGAATGCTCAAGTTATTGGCGGGCAAAGGCCATGGATGAACAAGTCAGGAGGAAACCGAAATGTTGGACCAACCGGTAATCAAAAAGGCACAGGCAGAGTTTTTGCCCTCCAAGAGGAAGGTAATGAAGATCCATCAGTAATTAGAGGTAACCTTGTACTCTATAATTCCTGGGTTCATGTTCTATTCGATTCTGGCGCAACACATTCTTTTATATCAACCTCATGTGTTAAATCATTAGGTCTTAGATGTGAACCTTTAGAAACTACTTTACGTGTTGCATCACCCTTGGGAGGAAGTATTAGGGTAGGATTAATTTGTCGAGGGTGTAAATTAGAAGTGTCAGGGTTACACTTGAGTTGTGACCTTCGGGTCATGAACATGTCCGATTTTGACATAATCTTGGGAATGGATTGGTTATCCGCCCACCAAGCAGTGATTGATTGCTACCGCAAGAGAGTGACGGTTTGCACACCTAGTGGAACGTGTTTCCAATTTAAGGGGGATAGAGAGGATTCCCTGAGCACAACAAATCGTAAAATGCAGTGGCATCGACAATTTGCTGGATGGTTAGCAAGTTTGATCATTAATGAAGAAGCTCAATCAGAATTAAATCTTCCGCGTGTAGTTTGTGAATACGCTGATGTTTTTCCTGAGGAGTTGCCAGGATTACCGCCACATCGTGAAGTAGATTTTAGTATCGAGTTACAAGCGGGTACTGCACCAATATCCCTGACACCCCACCGTATGGCCTGAACTTCGGGAGTTGAAGACGCAATTGCAGGAATTACTGGACAAGGGATTTATCCGACCAAGTACCTCACCATGGGGCGCACCAGTTCTATTTGCAAAGAAAAAGGACGGAACACTGAGATTGTGCATAGATTATCGGCAACTCAATCGGGTGACGATCAAGAACCGATATCCACTTCCACGGATTGATGACCTTTTTGACCAACTTCGTGGTTCAAAGTGTTATTCAAAGATTGATCTTAGATTTGGCTATCATCAATTGCGGGTCACTGATGATGACATACCAAAAACTGCTTTCCGAACCCGATATGGCCATTACGAATTTGTGGTAATGCCCTTTGGATTAACCAATGCACCAGCCGTGTTTATAAGCTTGATAAATAAGATTTTCACTCAAATGACACCAAAACTTATTGGTATCAGGCTCACTTTTTCTGTTTCACCCTAGGTATAGGATCGCCGGAAGAGAAATGAGTATGACATATGTATGACATATATTGGGCCCAATAATTTTGTAAGGTATACCAATAGACTCACCTTTTATATTAACGTATTGGGTTATGGATGGGCCCATAACCCACAGGTCCCAGGATCGAAACCTGGCTTTGATACCAAATTGTCACGCCCCAAAATTTGAGATCGCAAGACAAATATATAAAGTACAACTCAAACAAAATAGATAACCACAATACGTTAATAGACACATACAAGCGGAGTTATAACATGGATAACTGATTTGAGTTCCACTAGAGGTTTACAAATATTGTCAAACCAAAAGGTAAAAAAAGAGAGAACACAAAAACAAACTACTAGTCTAAATTTTCAAGTTAACCACGGCTCTAAAACTTCATCTTGATTGTCTTCGGGATAACCTTCCCCGTCGTAAGCTGCTTCTTCACCTGGCATGACACGCCATGAGCTTGGAATGCCCAGTAAAAACACACACACCCCCATATCATACACAAAACAAATCAAGTAACATAACATACTTACATTAAGGTTTTATAAATCAGTAGTTAGAATAGGCATTTAGGACCCCCCAAAGAGATCCTTCTACCCAATCACAAGGATTGAACACCAGACTATTCAGAACTCCCCCTTTTGCTACTTTGCAGACCTTACCACCTATGCCCACCTTCCGATTATTTACCTGTTAGTGGCATTGATGGACCTCAAAAGGGACGACCAACAAGTGGGCTCGCTTACACCCAACTCGTGCCTCGGGCTCGCTTACACCCTGCACATACCATACCAAAAGGGCTCGCTTACACCCTGAAACTGCCACATAGAGTCTGAATACATCCAGGTCAACCCAGGGGATCGCTTAAACTGCTTACGCAAGACTTAACTCATTTGGTATTAACCCCATCATAATTCATGTCATGCATATGTATAAAATTGTTCTAAAACACTAAGATAAACGTCACCCATTGCCAACCCCTTATCATTTCCCGTTTATTAGATCTTTTGCTAGGTGAGTTAGTCACATTCGGTAATTTGGTCAATTAAACGAGTGTGGGAAAAACATACTAGAGGAAATATAGTCCATGATCATCATACATAAGTACATAAGTATAGTTAAGCAAGAAATAACATTAAAAAGGCCTGAAACACTTAGAAACAAGTCACATAGTAGAACACAATTTCCAGCACCGGTCGGTTCTGCAGGGCTAACAAGAACGCTTTGGTAAAAATACTTCTAGGTCAAATTAGGGGCTGAAATTGCACAGAAATAATAATTAACCTGTCTAGTTTCAATTCCAATTCACAGAATGTGCATAGCACCTCCAGAAATTCATCCACAAGCTATATTCAAAAACCTGTCCAGATTTGTCACCCATTAGGAAAACTAGCGTTTCTCTCAATCTACCCGATGGTTTTCACTCAAATAAAATCTGTTGGAAAGAGGACTCAGATTTCTAAATTTTGACAAAAGAAACAACACGAGATGATTTTTCTAGAATTTTATAAAATTACTAAAAGTGGACTGTTTTTCAGAGATTCAGGACCAGATTTTTCAACAAATTATCCAAGCCCTAAAAACACACAATTAGGGGCTAATAAAATTGTCACAAGCTCTAAACACACCAATTATTTAAACAATGTAATTAGGCCATTTTCCATAATTACTATTTCAACCCTTAGGTCCCATTTTCTTCAATGATTCAGCAATCATTCCATTTTTTTCATGCTAAACATGCATCTAGGTTTATTATGAATAAAACCCCAACTTTTGTAAAATAACACAAAAGCCCCAAACTTTCACAAAATTACCAAGCCAACCCCAACATCTCAAAATACCAAAATTTAGAGACAAAATCCATCAATAGATATGTATATCAACAATACCCATAGAGAGGAGTAGGATATCCCTACCTTGAAGTTTTAGCCCTAAAGGAGATGAAGACTCCAAGCTCAACTTGCTCCAATTCCAAACTTTTTCAGATTAAATCGAAGCTCTCAACGCCCTCTATCTTTTTTACAAAGGCCCTAGACTAGATTCACACCCTAGGGAGATCAAATCTTAGAGAGAGTGTAAGTTTAGGGAGAGAGAGTGTCGAATTTAGGTTTTGCTCAAAGAAAGGAACTGAAAAAGTGATGTTTAAGACGCTGCTGTCCGCTGATATAAAACACTCTCGCTCGAGCGAAGGATTGGTCGCTCGAGCGACCAGACACAGAAAACTCTCGCTCGAGCCAAGAAGTTCTCGATCGAGCGAAGAAAAACCCAGACCGCTCGAGCCACGAAAAGCTCGCTCGAGCCAGGAACTACAACTCTCAGGTTCAGAACCAGGTGCAACACAACGCTCGCTCGAGCGACAAACTCCTCGCTCGAGCGAAGGACCAAAAATCTGGGCAGCAACACTAGGCTCCCAAACGCAACCAACCTGCCCAACGCATCTTATAACTATATATACAAAGTAAAGAGGATGCAAACTAGAAAATAAACAACTACCAACATTCACGGACACATGTCCGGATCACTGTACAACAAGGGTAAACCCGGGATCGCTATAGGTTTTATTTATTTACCTCATAATTTCTAAATTAATTCACACATTTTATTCTTATTTCTAAATTTTTTTTTTATTATTATTGTTCTTTCATTAATTATTTATTTGAATGGAATATTATTGTGTCTTGAATATATACATAGTTTATATATATATATATAATATTGGTGGAAGAGACAAACAAATAAATAAAATAAATAAATAAATAAATATCTAGATATTTAGTCCCTTAGCCATTAAGCTATCTATCTTATATAAATTGAGAGTTGGTCCCAATCCCCACACCCACGTTTTTGGATCAGCTCAAGGAGAGGGTGAGAGAGGGAGAGTTTGTTCAAGGGAAGTCAAGGGGAGTAGAGAAGTGTGAAGAAAAAAAAAAAAGAGACTTCTTGAAGGTAAAAATACACCTCTCCCTTGTCTCCTCAATTTTTTTTTTCTTTACCTATATCTTCCTATTGTCTAGATGCTCCCTTGGGTTATGTATTGATGGTAAATTGAGTTTTTGGTGTGTATGCTTGTGTGGGTGTGAATTGGTGACATTGTCTTACAATTTTATTCAAAATATGCACTGCTGCAATTTCTAATATTTCAAAGAAATATCAAACCTGTTTATTTCTCAAATCTGAATTTATTGTAAGATAATTGGTATGTTTAGAGTTTGTGACAATTTTATTAGCCCCTAATTGTGTGTTTTTAGGGCTTGGATAATTTGTTGAAAAATCTGGTCCTGAATCTCTGAAAAACAGTCCACTTTTAGTAATTTTATAAAATTCTAGAAAAATCATTTCGTGTTGGTTCTTTTGACAAAATTTATAAATCTGAGTCCTCTTTCCAACAGATTTTATTTGAGTAAAAACCATCGGGTAGATTGAGAGAAACGCTAGTTTTCCCAATGGGTGACAAATCTGGACAGGTTTTTGAATATAGCTTGTGGATGAATTTCTGGAGGTGCTATGCACATTTTGTGAATTGGAATTGAAACTAGACAGGTTAATTATTATTTCTGTGCAATTTCAGCCCCTAATTTGACCTAGAAGTATTTTTACCAAAGCGTTCTTGTTAGCCCTGCAAAACCGACCGGTGCTGGAAATTGTGTTGTACTATGTGACTTGTCTCTAAGTTTTTCAGGCCTTTTTAATGTTATTTCTTGCTTAACTATACTTATGTACTTATGTATGATGATCATGGACTATATTTCCTCTAGTAGGTTTTTCCCATACTCGTTTAATTGATCAAATTACCGAATGTGACTAACTCACCTAGCAAAAGATCTAATAAATGGGAAATGATAAGGGGTTGGCAATTTAGTGATTGAATTGGGCTAATTTAAAACTAATTTTCACACTATTATATATTTTAGGTAGATTCTGAGTAAAATTAATTAATTTATTAATTTATTTTCTTTTAAGAATAATTTTAAATATGGGTTTTCACAGACCCGGATGTATTCAGACTCTATGCGGTGGTTTTAGGGTGTAAGCGAGCCTTTTGGTATGGTATGTGCAGGGTGTAAACGAGCCCTAGGCACGATTTGGTATGGTATGTGCAGGGTGTAAGTGAGCCATAGACACGATTTAGGTGTAAGCGAGCCCACTTGTTTGGCCGTCCCTTTTGAGGTCCATCAATGCCACTGATAGGTAAATAATCGGAAGGTGGGCATAGGTAGTAAGGTCTGCAAAGCAGCAAAATAGGGAGTTCTGAATAGTCCGGTGTTCAATCCTTGTGGTTGGGTAGAAGGATCTCTTTGGGAGGATTCTAGATGTCTAGTCTAATCCTTAACCCTAAGCCTTAGGTTAATTGCATTTTAGTCCCAAATTTTATAAAATTTTACAAAGTGGCCCAATGAAGGATAATTTTCTTGTATATTATCATAAGTACATCATGGAACATCACTTTATAATTGGAAGTACCCTAAAACTTGGTTTTTATTTATTTACCTCCTAGTTTATGAATTAATTCATACATTTTAAGTGCAATTTCCTACAGTGCTAG